ATCTATAGACTTAGTTTTTGTTTGTTTGTTTGTTTTGTTTTTTGGCAAAATGAGAAATGTTATAAGAATTCTTTTGCGGATTACTGGTGGTGGTGGTGGTTGCTTTTTTCCATTTTATTTTGATGCTGTCCTCAGACATGCATACCGCAAACTCCCTATGGCCTATCCTCCTTTGCCAATCCAACCTTTTTCCATTGCCCATTAAAAGATAGGATCCCGGGACGCCTGGGTGGCTCAGTTGGTTGAGCAGCTGCCTTCGGCTCAGGTCATGATCCCAGCGTCCTGGGATCGAGTCCCACATCGGGCTCCTTGCTCGTCAGGGAACCTGCTTCTCCCTCTGCCTCTGCCTGCCATTCTGTCTGCCTGTGCTCGCTCTCTCTCCCTCTCTCTCTCTGACAAATAAATAAATAAAATCTTTAAAAAAAATAAGATAGGATCTCTGAGGTATGTGAATGTGTTTTAAGTATTAGAGACTAAATTTATGTATAAGTAAAATTTCAAGTGAGAAAATGTGTTTTCCGTTACCAGCTATACCCCATCCCACAGGGGCAAAAAAATTTTTTTTAAACTGAGCTCCTTTGTGACAATATCACAAGCTCTTTTTTTCTCATATCCAAACTTCTCCTATATGTAAATGTCCATATTTTATCTTAAGACCTTATAAGCTGTCTTTCCTGACTTCTTCCACTTCCCTCTTCTGCTTATCATAAATAAGTCTAGCCTATTACGTATCTTTTTTTTTTTTAAGATTATTTATTTATTTATTTGACAGAAAGAGAGATCATAAGTAGGCAGGCAGGTGGCGGGGCGGGGTGGGGGGCGCGGGGAACAGGCTCCCTGCTGAGCAGAGAGCCTGGTGCTGCAGGGCTCAGTCCCAGGACCCTGAGATCATGACCTGAGCCGAAGGCAGAGGCTTAACCCACTAAGCCGCTCAGGCACCCCTAGCCTATTACTTAATACCCCCCTTTTTGGGGCGCCTGGGTGGCTCAGTGGGTTAAAGGCTCTGCCTTCAGCTCAGGTCATGATCCCAGGGTCCTGGGACTGAACCCTGCAGCACCAGGCTCTCTGCTCAGCAGGGAGTCTGCTTCCCCTGGTCTCTCTCTGCCTGCCTCTCTGCCTACTTGTGATCTCTGTCTGTCAAATAAATAAATAAAATCTAAAAAAAAAAAAAAAACCTCCCTTTTTTTTGGAAGGGGGAGGGGCAGAGGGAGAAGGAGAATCCTAAGCAGACTCCGTGCCTAGCACAGAACCCAGATCAGGGCTTGCTCCCATAACCCTGATACCATGATCCCAGCTGAAATGAAGTGTCAACGCTTAACCGATGGAGCCACCCAGGTGCCCTATTAATGCTTTTTTTGAAAACCTAGTGTCCACCTATATTTCTGTTCTTTTATCTTCTTACCCTTTTTATTTTTAATGTGCAACTCTCCTAAACTCAAGCTTATGTTCACTACTAATATCTGCAGAGACGGAGAAAGGAAATCACTGAGTTGGGAGCTTTGGAGTAGGAAGGCAGGGGGAGTGTAATTGAGAGTTGACAATGGATGCATAAAGGGACTATCAGTGGAAATTGGGACAGCACGAATATGGACTGGAGATGGTCCATCCTCGTTTCTTGACTGGCTACAATAATGCACGCTGCTCAGAAGCAAAGAAAACAAAAATGAAAGGACTAAGGCTGATGGCAGGCATGCTAAACTTGATCAGATCACTTCTCTGCTTACAATCCTTCAAAGGTTTCCTCAACATGACCTTCAGGAGCCTCGGTCATCTGGCACCAGATATTTCTCTAGCCTCTTCTTGTACCATTCTCCCCTTAGCTTTCAAAGTCTCCCCCGCTGCAGCCAATTTCTTCCAACCTAAAGGCTTTCGCATGTACCATTCCTTTCATCTGTCACCTCCAATTCTTCCCATCCTCCACCCTTTGCTTCAGCTTAAAAATTAGTTCCTCAGAGAAGCTTTTCTGACCCCCAAATCCAATCCAGACACTCTATCAAAATAGTCTTTTGATATATGTCTTGTCTTCCATTAGACCTATCACAGTTATGTTTACTTGTATGAATACCTTTTCAGACATGGAAATAGCCCTGTGGAGGCAGGCACTGGGTTTACTTTGATGATTGCTAAATTCCCAGCACCTAGCCTAGTGCCTATCACCAGCAGGAACAGTAGGAACATTCGTTCACTCATTCAATACATTTAGTGAGTTTACTGAATGAGTAAATGAATGTTTGGATGAGTTAGCTACAGGACTTTAGACAAGGTTTTTTTGTTTTGTTTGTTTGGCCAAACATTTTATACAGTATTGTGTAGTTGCTTAACACACACTTAAATGGTCTTATGGGGGAGAGGAAAGGGGAGGTTCTTGTAGATTCCCAAGGAAATGCTTAGGCAAGTTTTTTATTGTGATTACATCTCCATTTTCTCATCTGCTAAATGGGTCAATGATACTAATTTCTAACCTCAGGATTGCCATGTGGATTAAGAGACAATGACTGCCTAGCATGGTGCCTGACATTATAGTAGGGGCTAGGAAATGTTACTTATTTTCATTGTTAAAAATAAGCTCTATGAGCAGGGCGCCTGAGTGGCTCAGTAATTAAGTGTCTGCCTAAGCATCTGCCTTCAGCTCAGGTCATGATCCCAGGATGCTGGGATCAAGCCCCACGTCAGGCTCCCTGCTCAGCAAGAAGCCTATTTCTCCCTCTCCCTCTGCCTGTCCCCCACCCCCCGTCAAATAAATAAATTTTAAAAAATTTAAAACAAACAAACAAACAAACTCTGTGAGCAACCAGAACTCTCATACAGCACTGGTAGGAATGCAAAAATGACACAGCCACTTCGGAAAAAGAGTTTACCAGTTTCTTACAGAGTTTAACACAGATTTTCCATACAATCCAGCAATTCCACTTCTAGGTATTTACCCAAATAAAATGGAAACTTTGGTTGATACAAAACCTGCGCACGAATGTTTATTCAGCTTTATTCATCATTGCCAAAAACTGGAAACAACCCAAATGTCCTTCAAACAAGGAATGGATAAATAAATCGTGGTATAGCTACACAGAATACCACCCAGCAAGAAGGAATGAACTACTGATAGATGCACAAAATGGATGACACGTAACAGCTTCATGCTAGGTGAAAGAAGCCAGACTCAAAAGGCCACATGTTATATGATTCCATTTATATGACATTCTAGAAAAGCCAAACTGTTGGGACAGAAATCAGGTCTGTGGTTGCCAGGCAATGGGGTGGAGCATGAGGGAATTTGGAGGAATGACAGAACTGTCCTAGGACTTGACTGGGATGGTAGTGACATGTCTAGATGCACTTATCAAAACTCCTGGCATTATAAACCCAAGGTGAATTTTACTATATGTAAATTATGCCCTCATATAAAAGATACAGACCCAAAACAGGTGGATAAAATTACATTTTCCTTTTCAAAAAAGTGTTAAAGAAGTATGACAGTTTATTTGTAGACATTTTGGGAAAATGTACAAAGAGTGTACATGCCATCACCCACAGAACAGTACTATTTCTTTGTTATCATTTTTATACGTGCAAACTACACATGAACTGGGACCACACTGTACATTTTTGCTTTCTCAAATGTACATTTTTTTTAAAAGATTTTATTTGACAGAGAGAGAGAGAGAGAGATCGCAAGTAGGCAGAGAGGCAGGCAGAGAGAGAGTGGGGAACAGGCTCCCCGCTGAGCAGGGAGCCTGATGTGGGGCTTGATCCCAGGACCCTGAGACCATGCCCTGAGCAGAACGCAGAGGCTTAACGCACTGAGCCACCCAGGGGCCCCTCAAATGTACATTTTACTTTTTGGCATATATTAAGCACATTTTTCCCTGTAAGTAACTTTCAAAACCATGATTTCACGAGTCAAAACTATTTATTCTATTGTACAGCCCAGTTACATTTTTAAGCCTCCCCTTATGGTTAGAAATCGCTTTCATGTTTTTACTACAAACGACTTCGATAAAACTAAAAAAAGAAACGCTGAGTGGGGCCAGGGACTCTTCCATTTTGCAATTTCACAATGTTTAACTGGTAAAACAACTCTTCCTTGGCTGCCATCGCCTCATTGTTTTAAGTGTCTGGAGGAAAAGTGGTTCCACAGGGTGATCTGGCCTCTCCTTCCTTTGAGGTGCACAAGAGCTAGATACCCTAATATTACCTGTATTACTAGCTTAAATTTGCATAGTGCTTTTTATCTTTGAGGGGTAAGCAGGGCAGCCGAAGTGATCTGCTCATGAACCCACAGCTTATCAGTCTTGGAATGGGACTTAGGCTCTAGATACTGAGTCTCAGAAAGTAAACATTTCCCCCGCGGCGGAGCACTGTCTAATCTAGCTCTTCACGCCCACCATACCCCCTCGCCCCCCATGGAGAAGCTGCAGACACCCCCAGAAAACCCTGACTAGAGTCTTGGCACATGGAGAACTTAACTGTCAAGTGGACGCTATCCCTCCGAAAACTGTCCTTGGCAACATCGCCACTTACCAGCTGGGTCATTTCTCCCCCCGGTGGCAGGGGGACACCTACTGCCACTGATCAAGAGGGCCCTGGGAGCTGTAGGATCGCCGGCTTCGCGGCCTGTGAGGGTTGCTATCGGTAGGTCGCGACGCTGTTGGGGCTTACCCTCACTGGGGGGTCCTGCCAGGGCAGCCAGGCCCTCCTCAACACCGGGGCCTTCAGTGGGGGGCGCGCCCTCGGCGAGGTGAAGCGGGACCCCATCATGTTAAGGAGAGCTGAAGGCAGGCAGGGACCGCCGGACCACAAGGCTGCCCCTGGAAACTCTCGGAACGTGAGGGGAATGCCTCCTCCGGGCGACCAGAGGTCAGTCCTCCGCTATCCCACAGTGCCCCGGATCCCGGAAGTGCCCGGCTTTACGGAAGTGCCCGGCTTTCCGGAAGTGCCCGGCTGGCTGACAGGAGGTTTTCCTGAACGCTGCAAGGAGAGGGCTGTGGTTCTGGGGCTTGGGTGACGGCTGGAGGAGCGACTCCGGGTTGAGGTGGGCGTCAGGAGAGAGCTGGACAGCGGGATTATGGAGGAGGAGGAGCTGGAGTTCGTGGAGGAGCTGGAAGCCGTGCTGCAGCTCACGCCTGACGTGCAGCTCGCCATCGAGCAGGTGAGCGTTCCGCCCCCTGAGCGGAGGAGAGTCGAGGACCGGGAAGTCTGGGGGTGGGACCCGGGGTGGGACGTGGAGGAAGCGGTCTTGGGACGGAGAAGTGGGAGCTAGGCGATGAAGGGAAGGGAAAGGTTTGGGGAAAATGGTGGTGGGAAGGGGTTTCTGAATCGAAGGGAGGGAGAGAGCCCTTTGTAGGCCTTGATTGTCTTTGGAGGGTAAGGCGCCCTCGTTTGTTTGAGCAGAGAAACCGTGACCCTTGAAAGCATGAACCTGGAAAAAAGGAGCTCACAGACACCAACCTCAGATTTGGGGGGGTTATTTACCAGGCTGGTGTGCCGCTGCTCCCGAGTCTCAGTCTAACCTTTTGTGAGGGACTCGCAATTGAGGGGAGGAGCAACTTTTTTTTTTTTTTAAAGATTTTATTTATTTATTTGACAGAGAGATCACAAGTAGGGAGAGAGGCAGGCAGAGAGAGAGGAGGAAGCAGGCTCCCTGCCGAGCAGAGAGCCCGATGCGGGGCTCGATCCCAGGACTCTGAGATCATGACCTGAGCCGAAGGCAGCGGCTACCCACTGAGCCACCCAGGCGCCCCGAGGAGCAACTTTAATACCTGAAGCGGATCACTGAGTAGAGGGGACACAGTTGGAAAAGGACCCCTTTACTGTACTTAAATGGTTGAGAATTCCTGCTGTTGATTAATTTGGATTGGATTGAAGGATATTGCCCGGAGGCCTTCTTCCCTTCAAGGACTTTTTGGTTGATTAAATTCTCTTTTCAAGTTTATTGAGTCTTTAAGAGTAAGGATATTAGAGATAGTCATTTAGACCCTTGTGCAGAGTTTTGCTCCTGATTAAAGGGAGAGGATTTCCTTTAGAGGTAGTGGTGTAGGGGATAAGATTTAAGTAAAGGAAGTTTATGCCACATTTAGGGACCACTGGGAAGTTTTCTGAAGTACAGCATTGCTATTATCATTACTAATAGCTAATATTTATTGAGCATTAACACTTACTCTAGGTCTGTCACTGTACTAATTTATTTGTATTGTGCCATTTATAGATTTTTGGATATGTGTTTTTCTAGCAGTGGTTGGATTAGCCATACAAAGCACATTTGGCACATCCTGAGGATGCCGGACCTCTGGGCAAAGGTTTAGTTGTTCAAGCCACAGCTCCCCACCCACCTCCACTGGACAGAAAAATACATGCATTTCATTTTCTCTTTGGATCTAGTGGGTTCTAGTAGAAGAAACAAACAATTCAGTCAGTTACCGTTTGGCAAGAATTTTAGAAGAGCACATTTCTGCTCTTTCTTAATAAGACTGAATTCTGGCATAAGTTTATCTAATAAGAGACATCAGAAAAGAATTGGTTTTCAGAATGAGTATCTTGAACTGGTGAAATTTGGTATTCAGGCGCTCACACGGCTGCTTTCTTTCTTTCTTTTTTTTTTTTTTTAAGATTTTTATTTATTTATTTGTCAGAGAGAGAGAGAGAGAGAGCGCAAGGAGGGGGAGCAGCAGGCAGAGGGAGATGCAGGGCTCCATCCCAGGACGCTGGGATCATGACCTGAGCCAAAGGCAGGCGCTTACCCAACTGAGTCACCCAGGCGCCCCTCAACTGTTTGTTGTATGTTCTTCAAGTTGTAGCTTTTGAAGGGAATTATTTTTCAGAAGGCAGTATTCTTTCTTCTGTTAAAGGGATGGACAGTTCCCAAAGGCAAGCTCCATTTTCCTGACCCTGTGTGACCCTAAAAATTGCTTTGATTCATAGGGAATTCTAATGCTGAGCCTTCCCAGAGACATAGTGCGTAAGTCTTTTCTCAAGGCTTCCTTAGTACAACCATGTCATCAGCTGATTTAATCTGATAGTGGACAATGCCCATTTATTTTTCCTTGTCCATGGGATTTTGTTGATATCTGTGGAACTTGCCATAGTCCCACATTCTGTTAGTGGCACCAAGATGTTAAAATTACAGATGTTGGTGAAAATTGAAGATTTACTTTAACAGATAATTTTACTGAGCAATTGTTGTGCGTTAGGCCTTATAAGATGAAAAAAGATATTTTTGTTGTTGTTGTTGGTTTTTTGTTTTTTTGTTTTTTTTTTTTTTTTTTGCCTTCAAAGAATTTACCATCTAGTAGGAAGGAAAGAAGTAACACATGAAACAAGACAGAAAAAGGACAGTTATTTTAAATCCCCTGTCTTTTTGTAGGTATTTCCAAGCCAGGATCCTCTAGATCGAGCAGATTTCAATGCCGTGGAGTATATCAATACCCTGTTCCCAACAGAACAAGTAAGTGTAGAGTTTCCTTCATGCCAGTGGTTTCTGTCTCATCGTTAGTGCTATGACTGGTGTGTTACACTACATAATCTAAGGAGACTTGATCAACAAGTGAGAGGTGAATTCAGATCAAACCCCACTGTAACGGACTGAGGGTGGGAGGTATCTTAATACAAAATACTGTTGTGTGAGAGTGGAATTCTTTGTCTTATGAGCATATTATTAGAAATTATACCTTTAGCTTGTAAGCCCCCCACATTCATAGTATACCGGGAAGTAGAAAGGATTTTTTTGAAACTAATGGGGAAGAGTGGGATGAAGAGGGCAGGATAACCCAGGAGTTATAATGCTACTTTCACTCCTATTCCGAGATGTAAATTTTCAGACTTTACTTTTTACTTTGTTGTGTTGGGTGACTTGCCTATGACTTGCCAGATGGGTTTTTCTTACAAAATTGGTTTATGGGTATGTTGGTGAGAAGTAGATCAGAATTAGAAACAGCAAAGTTGGGGGGCACCTCGGGAGCTCAGTTGGTTAAGCCTCCAACTGTTGATCTTAGGGTCCTTTTTTTTTTTTTTTTTTAAATTTTATTTATTTATTTGTCAGAGAGCACAAGCAGAGTGGCAGGCAGAGGCAGAGAGAGAAGCAGGCTCCCCGCTGAGCAAAGAGCCCCATGAGGGACTGGATCCCAGAACCCTGGCATCATGGCTGAGCCTAAGGCAGCCACTTAACCGACTAAGCTACCCAGGTGTCCCTGATCATAGGGTCCTGAGTTCAAGCCCCACTTTGGGCTTGTGGAGCCTGCTTTTAAAAAAAAAAAAAAGTAGAGTTGGGAGACCAGCTAGAGTTCTTGGTTTTTCATTTATGAATTCAGCAAATGTTTGGTGGTTCAATGGGCACTTGTCAGGTACTATTGGTCAACTTGTGCTAGGTGCTGGGGACACAAAAATGAATGACGCCTAATCCATGCTCCCTTGAAGTGTACGTGATCAAGGTTCGGGGGAGACATTGGTGAATACTGGAGGAGAGTTATGCAATGGTTTAGTGAGGAACAGGGAAACAGTTCTTCAGAAGATCAAAACCTCAGAGAGGAGGGAGCCCTTCCACCAAATCTTAAAGGAGTCATTCTTTCACTTAAGAGACATTTTTTAAGTGTCTACTAAGCGCCAGGCGCTGTTTAGAAACTGGGGAGAAATGGTAAATGTGATAGGCAAGTTTCTGGTCTCATGGAGTGTAGTGTAAGGAAAAAAATAAACAGATCAACAAATAACATATATAAGAAAACCATCGTTGATGCTGTGATAAAAGCAGGCGCAGTGATAGAACATGACCGTCTGGGGAGGGGCTCCTTGAGATGGGTGGTCGGGGAAGGTCTCTGTGAGGTACTTAACCTATAAACTGACACTTGATACTTATAAAGTGGCCAGGTTTGTGGCAGTCTGGCAGAACACATCGAGGCAGAGTAAACCACCAGGCAAATCTTCCAGGATGACAGGGAAAGAAGGTCCTTCTAAGCACAGGGCAGACTCAGAGATGAGAAACACAGAGCATGCACAGGGAGCATGGCCTCCTAAAGGGGGGCTAAAGGGGTTGGCAGAGCCAGGGACCTGAAGGGACTTTGTTCTCTGGCCTTGCAGACTCTGCAGTCTTTTGGATACCACACGCCTCATGGTAGAATTCATTCCACACAACTAATTTTCAATGGACTAAATTTTAAGCTTGTATACCCTCGAAATCTTATGCACATATCCTAGTACCAGTCTTAAATAAATGAGGTTTTAGTAGTGTTTGTCATATAAATAATAAAAACAGAGGTTTTAATGTTTTTCTCTTCACACTCTAATAAGCATTATTGCAAACCCCTTGGGGATGTGCACACCCTGCACCAGAGACTGTGACTAGGCAGGGGTGTTCATTCAGGGACTCTCATCGGGGTCATTACTGGATCAGAGTCACATTTTCAAAATCCCACCTGGCCACAGTGGGGAGGATGAACTGTGGGAAGGCAGACCTGGAAGGCAGGGAGACCAGTTAGCAGACTGCTGTGATGGATCACTTAAGAGGGACCAGGAGAATCTGAGTGAACACGGGGATGGAGAGAGCAAGACTGGAAAGCTGTTTGGGAGTCAAAAGTCAGAGTTTGGTGGTTGAAAGGACTTAGAACCTAAAATTTCCTCAAATCAAAAAACACCTCTTCTGTCTCACTCTCTAGGAAATTGGGGGCTGGAGGGTGAACAGGATAGATGTGGTCCTACCAACATAGGGCTTCCAGTCTACCTTGATGGGTACTAGTTACACCATTGGCAGATTAACAGTAAGTTATTATGACTCTGCAATGACTTGTTTGTATAGCTATTATTACTTGTTGCTTGCTCTCAGAAGAGTCCTAAGTTCTGCGACCACTATAATAATAATTAACATTTATCGAGCGTACCAGACACCATTCTAAACATTTAATAGTGATGTATTCACCGCCTTGTTAACATGCTTGGTTTTTTTGTTTTGGGTTTTTTTTTTTTTTAGGTTTTATTTATTTCTTTGAGAGAGAGAGAAAGAGAGATCACGAGCAGAGGGAAGGGTAGAGGGAGAAGCAGACGCCCCGCTGAGCAGGGAGCCCAATTCGGGATTTGATCCCAGGACCCCGGGGTCATGACCCGAGCTGAAGGCAGACACTTAACGATTGAGCCACCCAGGTACCCCCAACATGCTTGTTTTGGGATGAGAACCAGGAAGACCAAAGGGAGAAAGAATGCTCAGCTTAAATGTGGTAGCGTTGCTATGAAAGAAGCATGTAGTGTGCTGTGAAAACAGAGCACGCACTTACTAAGTCTGAGGGATCCAGAAAGACTTCACAGAAGAAATGGTATTTCAGCTGCACGTTATGCACCAAATGAAGGATTTTGAGCTTTGATTTCCAGCCTGCAGACTGGGTAGATGTTGACACCTTTACCTAAAATTGGGCCTAAGGAGGAAAAGTAGGCTTCAGTGGTAAATAGGGTAGGAGTAGGCTATAAGAGTGAGCTAAGTTTTGAGCATTTTGGGGCCATTCAGGTGGAAATATGTACTTGGAGTATCTGCGTCTGGAGCTCATAATCCCCATAATTGTTAATATTTTGGCGTATATCCTTCCCAAACTTTTTCTAACGGACATGTTAATTTTTCAAAATGAAGTTGGAGAAATGGTATGATTCTCTGTGATTGTCTTTTTGAGATTTCACGGATAGCCTTTAGAGCTCATTGTTTTCTGTGAAAGGAATTCTAGGAATTAGCTGGAGATAGAAATTTGGGAACAACTGGTATAAAGACAGCAGTTTTAGCTGTGAAAATGTCATCTGCCCCACCCTGTCAAGAAGGCTGACTCATCAAAGCCAAAATAACTGTTAGATTTGCAAATTGTACAGGAAACCGCCAGGTTCTTACTTTTTTCTGCTATGTTTTTATATATTACTGAAGGTAGCTCTGGACGTTTATGAGAACACAGATGCAGTTATATGTCTTGTCTGATTATGCCTCCTCATACATGATAATGTGTAGCGAAGTTTTTTTTTCTTTTTTTAAAAGATTTTATTTATTTATTTGACAGAGCACGAGTGAGCACAAGCCGGGGAGTGACAGAGGGAGAGGGAGAAGCAGGCTTCCTGCCGAGCAAGGAGTCCATGTGGGACAGGACTAATCCCAATCAGGACCTTAGCTGAAGGCAGATGCTTAACCGCTTAACCCAATGAGCCACCCAGGCACCCTGTAGGGGAGTTTCTTATAGCAAACTAAGAAAATTTATGACACAAGGTTACCTTTATTTCCCCAATCCCAGATTTTCATTTAGCAATATATTCTCCAACCCAGAGTCCCATGGACCTTAATGGAAAGGTAGCAGAAAATAGTGGCATGATTTAGAATTTCTTTCTAGAAATTCTTGTTAGAAATTCTAGAAATCTCTTGCTAGATCTTGGGCAAAAGCCACCCAAGTCAGGGACCTGCAGTAAATTCTTCTGAATCATAAGTTTAGCATATTTAAAGTAGATGTCAGTATATCAGGAATAAATTTAGTGTCACCTAAGGAGGAGGAGGATATGTGTGTGGGTTCTTTTGAACAGCAGTAACTTGGAAGTCTGTGGTTGCCTGGAGGTATGTTAGGGGAGGCAAAGAGATCCCTGGATGTTTCTAACTCCCTAGGTCCAAGTGGGAGGAACTCCATTTTCTCTCTTTATCAGGGCTCTCTGGGTGGTTCTGAAGAGTAGCCAGGTTTGGTAGCAATAATCTGGAAGACTCTTCTCTTCTAGTGTCCTAGAAGAAAACTGAAAAACTAAAAATAATCTTTTGTCATGTTTTCATTAGAGGTTTGATTAGGGGAATCTAGATAAAATCTATTAAAAATGAATATAAAACTAATATAACCAAAACTTTGAAAGAAGAGTCATGTTGTTGCAGAAAAATAATCAGACCTGTGAGAGACCAAGTGACTTTTGGAGAAGTAGGAGAACTTGGATTTATTTTAGGCCGGCGGACACAGATGAGCTCGTGCTTGAAAGTCTGGGCCCCCAGCCATGGGGTTATAGGGCTTGTATAGGGGACTGAAGGCAGTTAGGTTCCAAAGCTGCCGGCTTGTGGGTGGGTTTAAACTGGGGGAGTAGGGACTGCTTTAAGTGGGAACAGTAGTCAGGGAGCCTGTTGCAGGAAGCCTGTTTATAGAAGCAGAAGCGACTGGTTATTTCTTGCTCCCAGTAGGGCTTCCGGTGATCTCTAGCTTATTGTTAGTAACTTTCCATCTTCTGGGGCCTCCTGGCCTGGGCCTGCTCTGGGTAATTTTCCTCTTCAATGTGAATCTATTTCTAAAGAATTTTTAATGACCCCCCCCAAATGCTCTAGGTTTATGTTGTGAAGTGAAAACAATAACATGTCAAATTGTTTATCATCCCAGTTTAATTTGTTTTTAAGCCACATATTTGCTTAGAAGGAACTGTAGAAAGCAATATACCAAGATGCTAATGGTGATTATTTTCTAATGGAGGGGCAGGGGTTTCTGTATTTTCTGTAATCAGCAAGAATTGCTTTTAGATTCAGAAAGACTTCCAGGGGAGCCTGATTGGCTCAGTTGGTTAAGCCTCTGCCTTTGGCTCAGGTCATGATCTCAGGGTCCTGGGACCGAGCCCCGCATCAGGTTCCTGTTCAGCGGGGAGCCTGCTTCTCCCTCTCCCTCTGCCTGCGGCTTCCCCTGCTTGTGCTCACTCTCTGTGTGAAATAAATAAAATCTTTAAAAAAAAAAAAAAGGAATCAGGGAATACTTTTCAATAATTAAAACATTTTTAAATGATAAAATAAAACTGTACAACTGCATTATACCTACACTAGAAGGGTGATTCTCAAAGAGGGGATAGATCACCTGCAGCCAGGGTCACCGATCTGGATTCTTTGTTTCAGAGCCTCCCTGCCCTGTGTCTGTAATGATATAAAAGTCCCTCGAGTAAATGTGGCCTGATTTATTTTGACTTTTCTACTATGGCCATTTAGGCCATTCCCTGCTCCCTTAAATGCAGTTGAATATCTGAATACTTTGAATTATTCTTCTTAGAAAAACTGTCATGGCTTAAGCAAGACCTTCGTGTTTAAGGAGTATTAATTAAGAATTGGTTACTCTACCACCCAAAGCGATATTTACTGCTGTGGAATGACCTCCAACTTACATTGTTAAGTGAAAAAAGTATGATGCAAGACACTGTGCATTACGTAAAGCAGGGGACGTAAGTTATGGATATGTTTTAAATACATAGACTGTTTCTGGGAAGGTACAAAAGAAACCATTTCAGAGCCGTTGCCTCTCTGCAGAACTGGGGGAGACAGGCAGGACAGGGGAAGAGGAAGCCTTGATTTTCACTATTTCTTCACTTGTTATTGGCATTTTGGTCGTGTCCATGTTTTACCAATTTCAAATACATTACAATTTAAAAAAAAAAAAATTTTATTTATTTATTTGACAGACAGAGATCACAAGTAGGCAGAGAGGCGGGCAGAGAGAGAGGAGGAAGGAAGCAGGCTCCCTGCCGAGCAGAGAGCCCGATGCGGGACTCGATCCCAGGATTCTGGGATCGTGACCTGAGCCGAAGGCAGAGGCTTTAACCCACTGAGCCACCCAGGTGCCCCTACATTACAATTTTTAAAAAATATTTTATTTATTTATTTGAAACAGAGGGGGAGAGCGAGCGAGAGAGAGAATACCAGTGGTGGAGAGGGTCAGAGGGAGAGGGAGAAGCAGACTTCCCACTAAGCAAGGAGCTTGGCATGGATCTGGATCCCAGGACCCCCAAGATCATGACCTGAGCCAAAGGCAGACGCTTAACCGACTAAACCACCCAGGCACCCCTAGATTACGGTTTTAAAATTTTGGTATAATTATCCATTCTCAGAAAATATACAAGAATAGTACAATGAATTCATGGCTGCCTTTCACCCAGATTTTCTAAATGTTAACATTTTTAAAATAGTTCTTTTTAAATACCAAAACAAGAAAATGTTTTTAAGGGAATGGGTTCCAGCAGAGATAGGGTAGGAACTGTTATGCCTAATTTACACGTGAGGAAGTATAAATTCAGAGAAGCTGAACAGCTTGCCCTCTGTACATCGTGCTGGTTTGTAGGGGCAGAGCTGGGCCAAATCTAGGTCCTTCAACAAACTCAGCGCCTTTTACCATGGTGGTGACTTATACCCAGGCTGGTTTCAGAGTGACTTGACAGGGGGTACCTCAGTTAAAATAACTTCTCTTTTCTGAGATTCATCTTCACCTCAGTCTAGATTTCTGAAACCATTGCCTTTGTCAGAACAGACAAGATGTAAATGGCCTGGTCTGACATCTCAGACGTGGTGACCTAGTTCTTGGCAGGCTCCTGGCCCCCTCCTGCCACCAGAGGTTGCTGGTAGCAATTTATAAGCACAATTCCTGCATTACCCCCAATACCTTTTCAGGTAAAATATCTGTTGGGGGAAAGGGAAGGAGTTCTAAAATTATATTTTGACGACTTGAGTTAAAATGGTGCTCTATAATTGTACTGTATTCCACTAGGGGGCACCATTTCCTCGCGTTTTCTGCTGGCTAAGGTTGGAAGTAGTCCCATTGTTTTAATTGTCATTGTCTTTAAAATAGAAATAACTTTATTATAATTACAGTAGCAGTGGATAGCCAGTGTAGAGCAATTAGTAAGTTCTTATAGGCAAAAAGAAGAAAAAAATTAAATCCTTTTCTTAGATACAGCTATTGCTACTGATTTCATATTTTACAGCTACTATGTAGATTACAAAGCTACTAATATTTATCTTTCAAGGCATTTTTTTCTGATGAACCTACAACTCAGAAAAAATAGATTTATTCATCAAAATACAGTATAATATAGATGCATACATACATCTTAAATATATAATTTGATGAATTTTCACAGAATGATTACAACCATGTAACTACCATTCAGATCAAGAAATAAGACATTAGGGGTGCCTGGGTGGCTCAGTCAGTTGAGCATCCCTACTCTTAATTTTGGCTCAGGTCATGATCTCACGGTCCTGGGATGGAGCCCTGCGTGGGGCTCTGTGCTCAGCCAGGAGTCTGCTTGAGATTCCCTCTCCCTCTCCCCCACCCCTTGCTCCTGTGCCCTCTCACTCTCTTGCTTGTGTGCTCTCTCTCTCTCTCTCTCTCTCAGATTAAATAAAATCTTAAAGAAAAAAGGGGTGGGGTGGGGTACCTGGGTACCTCCGTCAGTTAGGCATCCACCTCTTAGTTTCTGCTCAGGTCATGATCTCCTGGTTGGGAGATCCAGCCCCTCATTGGGCTCCATGTTCAGCGGGGAGCCTGCTTCCTCTCTCCCTCTGCCCTTCTTCCTTCTCGGTCATGCTCTTTCTCTGAAACAAATAAATAAAAAGAAAGAAGACATTAATACAACATCTTCTTTTTAAAAAGATTTATTTACTTTAGAGAGTGTTGGGGGGCAGAGGGAGAGAATCTTGGAGAATCTCAAGGAGATTCCCTGTTGAGCATGGTACCCACCCTGGGGCTTGATCTTATGACACTTAACTGACTGTGCCACCCTGATGCCCTTGTCTTTAGATGGCCCCTCTTACTCATCACAGTAACTACCTTCTTCAGAGATAACTACTGTCCTGCTGGCTTCTAACATGAGAGAATAGTCTCATTTATTTTTTAACTGTATAAGTGGAGTTGTACAATTTGGAGCTGAAGGCGGATGCTTAACGACTGAGCCACCCAGGCGCCCCAGTCATTCTGTTTCTGTTGCAGGTATTCCAACTTCACATTTGTAGCTCAAAGGCAGCTGTGGATAATAGGTAAATGAGTGGACATGACTATATTTCAATAAAACTGTATTTACAAAAACAGATACCAAGCTGGAATTTGCAATACTTGCCAACAACTGCTATACTTTTTTTTTTAAAGATTTTATTTATTTATTTATTTATAGAGCTGGGGGAGTGGCAGATGGCAGGGGAGAGAGAGAGAGAGAGAGAGAGAGAGAGAGAGAATGAATCTTAAGCAGACTCTGCCCTGAGTGCAGAGCTCATGGTGGGGCTAGATCTCACTGAGATCATGACCTGAGTCAAAAAATCAAGTGTCGGGGGCACCTGGGTGGCTCAGAGGGTTAAGCCTTTGCCTTTGGCTCGGGTCATGATCTCAGGGTCCTGGGATCGAGCCCCACATCGGGCTCTGTGCTCAGCGAGGAGCCTGCTTCCCCCTCTCTCTGTCTGCCTCTTGATCCCAGGACCCTGGGATCATGACCTGAGCCGAAGGCAGAGGCTTTAACCCACTGAGCCACCCAGGCACCCCCCCCATTACTTTTTAAAAAAAATTGTATCACACTATGATTAAATATTTGGAGATGTTATAAATAGCCTTGATAGCTTATCATTTCCATATAAAAGGATCTAGAAAGTGAAATAATAGCTGTCATTTTCCTTCTTTATTGTAGTCTCTGGCAAACATAGATGAAGTTGTGAACAAAATTAGACTGAAAATAAGGTAAGTTACCCCATATGATTATTAATAATTACTGAAAAGTATGCTGTTAATTTAGTTAATCATGTTCTGGATCACACTTATCTGTTAGAAAACTGAAATCTCAAGTTTGCTGTTTATGACAATTTTTTTTAAAAGATTTTATTTATTTATCTGACAGACAGAGGTGACAAGTAGGCAGAGGCAGGCAGAGAGAGAGGGGGAAGCAGGCTCCCTGCTGAGTAGAGAGCCCGATGTGGGGCTCGATCCCAGGACCCTGGGATCATGACCTGAGCCAAAGGCAGAGGCTCAACCCACTGAGCCACCCAGGTGCCACTATTTATGACAATTTTTTAAAAAATAATTCTTTTATCTAGATTTCCATATGAACCTCATGGCAAAGAATTTGATTCTTTGGCCAGTGTTCAGTTATTTATAAAAAGGGAAGGAAACTTTAATAGGCTATTCAAAATGGTTGGTCATAAAAGGGGGCAAAAGCATTTCTATTGTAGTTTTATTTATTTATTTATTTATTTATTTATTTATTTATTTATTTTTCAGACAGAGATCACAAGTAGGCAGAGAAGCAGGCAGAGAGAGAGGAGGAAGCAGGCTCCCTGCTGAGCAGAGAGCCCCATATGCGGGGCTCGATCCCAGGACCCTAAGACCATGACCTGAGCCGAAGGCAGAGGCTTTAACCCACTGAGCCACCCAGGCGCCCCTCTGTTGTAGTTTTAATGGTTTTATTTCCTTAGCAGATTTACCTTTTTTTGTTCTCCCAAGGCTTAGATACAAGGATGGGCATATACATGTATCCCGTGGCCATATACCAGCTAATGGGATGGTCATATCTGCTGGTTGGTATTTGTGGTGTCCCAAGATTAAATGTTGTGATTAATCTAAAATGTGCTTCTCAGAGTTAGACAACAAGTGTCTTTCCTCCCCAGTAGCCTGGTTCTGGTTTGCCCACATCTGGATTTCCAGTTTTGACATATGGCAGGTGCTCAGTGTCTGTTCACTGTAATTAATACTATAATGGTTAATGTCATTAGGGCAAATGTAGTTGTTTGGTTTGGTTTTGTTTGGTTTTTGATGAGGAGAAGCCTTCATTTTCAATCCAGGCGATGATTTCTTTTTTCCTTACAAGCTTTGGGTCTTTCAGTGAAGACCTTTGCCATGAATGTATTGTTTAGTTGGGCATCTCTCATTGTTTTGGTGGACTTCAGCTATAACAATTCTGATAGAGACTGCTAATATGTCTGGGATTTGCACAGAAATGGGAATTCCCTAATGATCCAAAAATCACCGCAAACTGGTTATTTTCGGCTTTCTCCCAATATACCTTTAAAAGATTCTTTACATGATAAATGAAATTGACTGTTGTAAATTTCTCTGATTGAGGGACCACTAAATGGTCGCTATTAGAGGCAGAGGTCACAGACCCACATCCTACACAGCTTGCATAGTTAGGGCCCAGAGGGTGCATCACGGATCTCATGTAGCACTCTGGCTCCTGAGGAAGTAACTGAGGGTTTTGCGGAGGGTACTTCAGATTCTCTGACTTGTTCCCATTAAGTTTCAGCAACATTGTCATTCCTGGTTTTTGCTATTGAAAAATATTAAACGTTACACTGGCCCATTTGGACAGCTCTGAATATTAAGCAAGAATAGCTTTTTTTTTTTTTTTTTTTTTTTTTAGATTTATTTATTTATTTTATTTATTTGAGAGAGAGACAGTGAGAGAGAGCATGAGTGAGAAGGTCAGAGGGAGAAGCAGACTCCCCATGGAGCTGGGAGTCCGATGCGGGACTCGATCCTGGAACTCCGAGATCGTGACCTGAGCTGAAGGCAGTCGTCCAACCAACTGAGCCACCCAGGCATCCCGCAAGAATAGCTTTTTTAAAAAAACAAGGACTACTTATCAGTCTGTGCTGTACTTGGCTTCTTACATTACTGTTGCTGCCTTAGCTAGGGTTTAAGGCCTTGGTCTTGGGTTAGTTCATTCTAACCTGTCTGATTTTCTGGACAAGGAGGTACAACCAGCAGAAGTGGGTGGGTATGCCGTCACCTTTTTATCTTTTGGTCACTTTAGAAGGGAGGTTGTTTTAATGATTCTTATCCTTTAACTTTTTCCTAGGAGACTGGATGACAATATTCGAACTGTTGTAAGAGGTCAAACAAACGTGGGGCAGGATGGCAGGCAAGTAAGTAACTTATTTAATCATACTCTTCTGATTTCTTCATGACCCGGCCACCAAGCAACCAAAATGTTGATCCGCCTGCTTGTAGAGAGCATTTCTTAGGGATGTGTCCATACGCAGCAGGAAATGTGCCTGACTTGTCCCACTAATCCCGGAGGTAGACTGCGCAGACCAGCAGCGGGCTCTCACTGCCTGTGCAAGCAGGAGCCTGTGGTAGCACAGCTCAGCCAGGCTAAGGCCGTGCGAGCCCACGTGTGAAAATCAGAGTTGCCTTGTCTTTCTCCTCTGTGTCAGACATGTATTCATTTCCAAGTTTTATAGTTCTTTTTGGATCTAGCTAAGAAGGGCTGTTGCAAGGGGGGCGCCTGGGTGGCTCAGTGGGTTAAAGCCTCTGCCTTTGGCTCAGGTCATGATCCCAGGGTCCTGGGATCGGGCCTCGAGTCTGGCTCTCTGCTCTGCGGGGAGTCTGCTTCCTCCTCTCTCTCTGCCTGCCTCTCTGCCTACTTGTGATCTCTGTCAAATAAATAAGTAAAATATTAAAAAAAAAAAAAAAAAAAAAGAAGGGCTGTTGCAAGGGAATGAAGGGGGAAAGGGAGTGTATGGGGTGGAGGGCTTCGTTAATGACCTGGGGCCAGATGTTATCTATCAACCATTTTCCTTTTTATTTGGATTCTGTTCTGTTTAGGCATCGTATTTCAAAACTTGCTGTCATAATAAAGGTGCTGAGCACGCCTTTGTAGTCTTCTCATGCCGTGTCTGCTCTTCCCTCTTCAGTATTGACTCAGTCAGGTCGCTGTGTGCCTCTGTAGTAACCCCAGTTCTGTTTTTTTGTCCTCTTCGACTTGCAGTGCAGCTCATTTCTTCAGATAGACATCATGCAACCCAAATTGGGCGGGGCGGGGGGGGGGAGATGGGCGGTGTCATCTGCGAATAAATGTGCTGATCATTCATACTCGTGTTCCTTCCGCTAGTAGCTGACCAGAGTCTTTCTTTTCCTTTTACATTTTTATTTTTATCGTTGCCTCTATTTCTCCTACATTTTGTGACTTTCTTTTCCTCCTAATAATCATCTTCCATTGGTCTCTTTGTAAGTATCTACCTTCTTCCTTGTTGACATCATCAGTATTTCTATATGGACATATTAGTTTCCTATAGCTGATCCGATTTCCTGGTTCCTGCGTGGTTCTTAGTCCTTATTGCTTTGTTTTGGTCATTTAGGTTTCTCCCATGAAGCATCACTTCACAGGTGTGGCCTGCGTACATGGGGCGCTGGGAGGGAATAAAGAGTAACAAGGTGGCCTGCAAATGCTTCAGCCTTCTTCCGCCCTTGAGCCTTCCTTCTGTATATCTGGCCCTGTCATCTACCTCTTCAGAAACCTCAGTGGCCTCTGTCTTATCAAATTTAATCCAAGTTTCTTTGCTTGGCATTCAAGGCCTCAATCTGCCTTTCCAGTTTTGCATCCTGCTGAGATCCATCCATACAGAAGACTCCGTGCTCTACAAGCACACTCTGTGCTTTCTGAACCCATGGACCTCTTTCTGCCTGAAATTATTTCTCTCCTCTTCTTCTTCTAGTAACTTCATCTCAAAATCTTACCTAAGGGCCCCCTCAAATATGATGTCCTCCATGAAATTTTCCGTTTAGCTCACCTGAACATACAAAAGGAATCAGAATTTTAGTCCTAGAAGGGACTTGGAACTCATTTGGTCCACACTTCTCGTTCTGCAGATGAGCAAATTCATCCTGATATCCCTCAGCTAGATGTATATGCTTTCTGCCCACGAACTCCCAGACCTGTGCCTGTACTTTCCATTTGACTTCCATGGTCTCCTTTGACTTACTAGTGAACACTTCTTGTCTCCTTGACTAGTTTATAAGTTCCTTGAGGCAAGAATCGAATCTTCTCATTTCTGTATTTCTCTCAACACATAGACTTCATGTCCAGACCAGTAACGTTTTATTCAACTGTATTGAATATTTGGTCTCTATGAGACTATTTATTGCAAAGAAACAAAAGCCCTTTACCATAAAACATCATTTTAATCAATGTGTGTCCCCATAAAGTTGTTGAGAGCCTGATTTGTGTGTGACTAGTCCCCAGTGACTACCATTTGAAATAACCCAACTATTTCATGTGATTCAGCCTCTTCTTAGAGTGGCTCAGGAAAAAATACTTTACAGGAGTCTCAGGTTTTTCAAATTCCAAGAATGGGAAAATAATGTGAATGATTCATCAGGATTTTTCTGTTGGGTCATGCTCTATCTGTATCTTTTATTTAGTTGTTTGTGTTTGAACCTGTGGTCACAAACCCCCAGTAGTGGAGAGTCGGGCCCCAGATGGGACAGCCGGTGGGAATGTCAGCCTTACCCACCTTCCCGTATTAATAGGTTACAGGTTGCTGCCGCAGGGGCAGGTCGTATTTCAGAGAGCAAGACCACATTTTCAAGAATGTTTAGATAGCATTTCAATCTGTGGTGGAATTTTGTGTTCGTCTCCTTAGAATCCAGACAGAAAGGAAGCCCAGAAGAAGTAATTGCTTTTCCTGTCATCCCCTCCATCTGTCTTTTCCAGCAGTTTGTAACGCAAGCTGATGGCGAGATTTTTTTTTTTTTTTTTCCAAGGAGCATTTGGGTCCCATCCTTGTCAACTTGTAGGGGTAAAAGTCTTGCTGTCCAGCTCTGGCTGGCTGGTGGTTTGCTGAAGAGAGACTCTTACTTGACTGGCACAGACTTGGGAGAGTTATGGATTGTTCCAAAATACTGAGTTTTATAGGTCAAGAGGCCCCAGATTTCCCTCTTCCCTGGAATAGAGGAAAAGTCTGCCTTCAGAACTTGTTTCTGAAGTTTCTGAGGAACACTCGGGAGGAGGGCAGTATTACGGACCAAAGGAAATTTCATTTTGATCATGTTCGACCGGAACTGATGTGCTTTTTAATCTCTAAAAAAGGGGGATATGTTTACTTCCCCTTCACAGTGTCTTATAAGATATTTTTAGCAAAATTTTTTAGAAAAGCAGTGGTTCTCGCTATAAAACTATTTCTGAAGAGGCAGTGACTTAGAAATTGAAGACACAGTAAGGCACTTTCTTTGATTTCTGAGATTTCTGAAATACCAGCTGCATGGTTCGCACTCGGTTCCACATTTTGGAGAGCCTTTGATTGTTCACCACCTCCTACGTGGCAGACTTGAACTGGTTTAGTCTGTGACCTCTTCTAACCAGACTGTGATGCTCATACAAAGTTAATACGGCACAGAATTCTCCCCATTTTCTTCTGCTGAAATCATCAGGCAAAGGCTTTAATTAAATGCCCACATGTTTCAGACTTCGTGGATAAGATGAGTCAATTCAGCTAATACACGATCTGATATGCTGTGAACCGTATGCAGCTTCCTGAGAATTAAAACAGACAGCTTGACCTCAGGTAGAAAGAGGTGAATAGAGGAGCGGCTTGGAAAAAGAAAAGGTTGGCATGTGAAATCTCAAGAGTGGCCAAAGCTTGACCAATTCCCAGTATGCTCACTGAGAAACACCAGAAGGATCAGCCACTGGGCTTCTGTCTCTGGAGTAGAGCTTGGCTGCCATGTTACTGTTGCATCAGAGCAAGACTAAGGTTTAGGAGGGGAAGAAACTGTTAATTGCCATCTCTAGCCCAGCTCACCAGAATCTGATTGTAAGAAGCTTTAGGTATCCATAGTACAATCTTGCACCCAGTTCAGGAATCCTTTCTGTGACATCCCTGACAATTCATTGGCCTGCTTCTGCTTGGACACTCATGGTGATGGGCAGCTACCGTTTTGTTCTACAGGGCAGTCTCAGTCTATTCCAGTTTTGAACAGCTTTAATTGTAAGAAACTTCATTCTTAGACTGAACTGAAATAGTAAAATAGACCTCATTGTAACTTCTCATTGCTCTTAGTTGTGCCAGCTGGACCAGTGCAAGCCTAATCCCTTTTCCTTATTATAGTTTCTAAAATTTTAAATGGATATTATGTTCCTTTCTTAGTGTTCCTTTTCTTAGGGTAACCATTCTTTCTTCAGCCCTGTGATCTTATTTCCAGACCTTTTATCATCCCGGTTGCCTTGCAGTTTGTCAGCATCATTCTTTTTTTTTTTTTTTTTTTTTTTTGTCAGCGTCATTCTTAAAATGGGGTTCCTGGTCCATGCTGTGTGGACACATAGTGGGGTGCCTCAGCCTTCTTGTTCTGCACTGGTGCTGTGAATGTGGGAACTGGGGGCTCAGGGGAACTGAAATTCATTATTATAATTCCTGAAATTGATTACTCATTTTTGTATGAATAGATTCATTTCTTGAGAGAGTACTCATTGATTTTTAAAAATTCTTTAAGGAGTCCATGACTCTTCAGAAGTTAAGGACCACTGGTTTAGACACTGTTCTCCCATCACCTCGAACTGGGTGCAGTTTCTGGCAGCTGTGTCCCGCTGTTAGCTTCTGCTGACAGTCGAGTTGGCAGTTCTCCAAAACCCCCAGGTCAAGAGTTGCAGACAGATGCCCACAGAGCTAAGAAAGTGACCTAAATGGCTTCAGCAGGCCAGCGTGCATCCACGTGTATCCCATGGGCGAGTGAATGCCCTTTCTAAAAGGAGACAGCTACAGCCCAGTCCAGACCAACTGTGGTCAGGCCTGAATGCAGACCCAGAGATGCCAGATCTATCAGTTTTTCAAGAGAAGCCGGAAATCCGGATTTTTATGTGACTCTCCAGATTTTTAGATGTTGTCTTAGTGTCTTCCACAAATACTGCGAAGGCCAAACAAAACACGTGTGTGCCAGCAGTTTGCAACATTTGCTCCAGGTCTTTTTTCATATGAGCTACTTTTCAACTTTTCCCTCCTCTGTTTGTTTAAGAGATTCTTTTGAGATCAAGTACTGGACTTTATGTCCTCCCCCCACCCCCTTCCACACACCCCATTTCTTCTTGCTAGTTCTGCTTGATTGTCCCAGCCAGTTGAGGCCTTTTGGAGTCTTGATGACCTCCCCGTTT